CACGCCGCGGCGGTCGACGGCGACGCGCGCCGAGGCGTCGAGTTCGCCAGAGGCGCGCGACGCCGCCGCGCCGCGGGGGCGGGAAAACGACGTCTTCGGCGCGCGACCGCGCGCGCGCGCGACCTTTTTCGGCGGCCAGCGGCTGGCGCGGCGGCCGCGGGCCACGCTGGGCCGCGCGCGTCGGCGACCCGCGGCCCGGCGGCGCCGCGGAAGGGATCGCTCCGGCGCATGAGGCTCCTTTCGCGATCTTCGCGGGTCCGCGCGTCGCGGGATTCGCAGCGTTTTCCTCCGTTCTTTCGACGGAGCGCGGCCCCGAGGGGGTCTCCAAGACGTCCTAGAAGCACGCGTCCGGCGAGGGGGCGGAAGGGCGTCGACGCGCGCATAAATCAGACTGATTTTTGCGGCGCCGGGGGTGGTTTGCGTAGTAGAGTAAATAGGCGAGCTCGGCAGTCGAGCTCGGGATAACTCGCCCCGACCGTCTCCGCGGCAGGCTCGCGGTGAGGGAGAGCGCCTCGAGCGCATCGAACGCTGCGGTGTCGAGCTTGCGTCGCATGCGCGCCTGCGCGTGGCCGACGACGTGCTTGCCCACGTAGCGGCCGAGCTCGGAGAGGATGAGCATACCCTAGGCTCATTTACTATTGTACAATAGTAGTGGAGATACAAAAGGCCAAGTGGACGAAACGATTTCACAATGTCATGAAGAACGATCATTGCAATGCTTTTGAGCTGCGCGTGGTCAAGCTCGAGCATCAAGATGCGCTCAGGCAGCTCGACGCATCTCGCCATGAGGTTCGCGCTCTCGCAGCACAAGCTCTCCACCTGCAGATTCGAAACAACATGGTCGAGCAACGTATTCCTGCCACCCGGCTGGCTAGTTTAGTCAGCGGAATTCAGGGGCAGGACACATTGCTGTGGCACGTCATGTCATTCTTGGATCCGTGCGTGCACACTCGCATTGTCTCTCGGTCCTGGCACCGGTCCTGGCATCGGTGCGTGACTCAGGTCTCTCGCTAGCTAATGCAACAACAAAGCACAGGCATTGGAAAGCAGGGAATGCGCGCGACGGTATCTGGCCTCACCTCCAAATTATTCCTCTCACAGGGGTCAATGACTCCCATCGGGCAGGGTACACAAGTGCGCCAGTCATCGCTTTCCGACGAGCGCAACGAAAAGCGTCTATACGACCACCACTGCGGGCGATTGTAGAAGGGTCAATCCTGGATATCTTCCCAGAGGGGTTCGAGGGTGATGACGACGAGGAAGATGGGGACAGTAGCGACGAGGGTGGATATGTCGATATTGCCGGGGAGATTGTATTGGGCAACATACACGAGCCAGGAGAGGAGGTGGTATCTAGAGCTGAAGGGCGAGAGCCAAGGGCGGCGGAGATAGCGGCACGCGAAGCTGTCGTTGCACTGCGACTGCAGCTTGCGAATGCGACGATGACGGACAGGGTAAATGCAGCGCTCGCCGAGCGAAGTGCAGCCTCGTTCTTTGATTACTACGATACAAACAAAGATCTATCCGCGTATACGTTGGAGCAGGAGTTGACCCGGAATTCCTTTTCGGTCATCGACGAGGGCGGGGGAATTCTTGAGGGCGTGAACGCCGGCGAGTACCTGAAGCGCGCCGTCGGTGATGTCGCTTACCTCGTCCGTGTGGCGAACCAGTCCATTTTCGCCGATAGTATCGCTGCGCTGACGGAACATTTCCGTTTGTGCGACGCTATGGCATCCCTGTCGAACCCTTCCGACGCAGAGATACGGTATGAAATAGACTGCCTGAGGAAGACGCTCGACGCCTCACTGACTGTCGAAGTGGTTATCCCAACGTCCGGAGCCGGAAACGGGAAGCTGGCACTCGCACGAATCGACTGCGCTGTTGCTGTCGCCCTCGGCGGGGTCTCCCGCATTGCGACGCGCCGCGTCGGGCGCGCGCGGCTTGTTCGCGCCTTTGAGGCGAAGGTGCCAGCATAGCCGGGGGAATCAGAACGGCGGTGTGGCGGGGGAAATAACTACGGCAGCTTGCCCAGGCTAACTTGAAGCTTCCAGCGCGGTTTGGCTGAGAGAGAGAGATACCCTTAACTAGGGTAATTAGAGAGAAATACTCCAAACTAGGGTAACAACAACGGACGTCGAAGTCCACGATAGGGGAGAGTACTCTTGAGGGGAAATGGCAGTGTTCCTGACCTAGACGGAAAATGGAAGAGGGAGATGGGGCTGCTAGGCAGCCCTGATTCCCAACAGGAGAGGGTTACTCTGTACTGTCTTAACGTGGAATGGAAAGAGGGGCTCCCCCTATTTGCCAAACTACTACAGGTTTTCCCAAACTTTTCAGAGCTATACTCGCTGTTGGATTTATCTGCCTCCATTGGGTCA